CACGGGGCTTCCGGCCAGGGCGGCCGCGACGGCGCAGAACCTCGAGCGCAGCCAGCGGAGCCGAGGCCGAATGGCCGAGAGCGGCGCCCGACAGCGCTGTCCCCGCAGGCCCAGCCCTACCTACAGATGCGAAGCACAGCCGGAGACGCGCCCGCGCTGCCCTCGCCGCCCTCGCCCCGCCGCGGCTGCTCCGCACTTCCGCTTCCGCTCGGGGCGCTTCCGCTCCAGGGACCGCCCCCCGAGGGGCGGAGCAGAGCCTCCGAGGGGCGGAGCAGAGCCTCCGCGGCGCCCGAGGGGCGAGGTGCGCAGGCGCCGCGCCCGTTGCCTGGAAACCGCACGCGCAGCGAAGGTCGGCGTCCGGGGGTCTCGGCGTCCGGGGGTCTCGGCGTCCGGAGGTCTCGGCTTCCCGCAGGCGCTGGTGGGGCGCTGTCCCTTCCACCGTCCGCTTCGCGGGTTTCCGCTGCCCGGTGGAGCAGTGGGCACGTGGGGCACCTGACGCCGCGGTTCCGCGCAAGAACTAAGAGCGTCCGCTCTCCTCAGCCCCCGGCCAGCTGCAGGGCTGTCACTGAGTCCGGGGCCTTGGCTGCGGGAAGCGTGGCAGGGCGCTGGGAGAACGAGCGGGGCTGCCCTCGGCAGCCGTGACCTTCGGCAAGTTGTTTAACCTCTGCCCCTCCGCTTCCTCTGCGCAAAGTTGGACGGTCACGGTACTTCTCACATCAGCTTCGAAGGGTGGAGCAGAGCGCTGGGCCGGTAGGAAGCACTAGAGCCGTAGGACGATCGTTAGAAGAGCTGTGACGAGCAGGATGGTCCCACGCTTTTTTAGCCAGCGGGCTTGCCCGTCTGGAGTGGCGCGTGGAGGGTTCCAGGAGGTGGAGTAATGGTAGGCGAAGAGCAAGATGCTTTGGAGGAATTTCAGTAACTGGAATGTACGCGCGAGGGAGCAGAGGCAGATAAAAGTGGTTGGGTGAGCAGGGTCACCTGCGCACGTAGAGTCTCCGCCTTCTGTTAAAGAGTTTGAACTTTAAGCCGCCATTTCGACCTTATTCCTGAAGCTGCTTTTAAGATGAGGAAAGTTCACACCCAAGACGTGCGCCCTTGGGTTCGGAGATTGGGCAGTTTTCAGATTACTCACAATTCCCATCCCTACCTGCAATGCCCTTTCTCTGCAACCTAGAGAACGTTTTGGTAGCCGAGTGCGAAACCAATCTATTTTTAGGAAAGTTATTGACAAACTTCGATAATTAATAATACCAAAGTTTTGAAATGCATCTCAGAACTTACCTTTCCACAACCTGTCTCAAGACTGCTGTAAGCCCCAGGGAGCAAGAGGCTCTGTCAGGGAAGTAAAATGATCAACATTGTTCCTTCAGAGCCCCTTGCAAAGTACTTGACAGATCAAGCACTCAAAAAGAATTACCCAAACTAAGTGACGCCATATGTATTAAACAGTTTGAGAAGTAATCTTTCCGTTTGGCATACAAGGCGTTTACTTCCTGTTGATAATTTTTTTCTAAGTAAAATGAACAAACGGTGCTCAGCACCTATTACTGGTTGGGTGCCTAGGGTTACAAGAGGTGTGCGAAATGGTCTCAAGTCTTAAGGCACATACGTTGTGGTTGGGGAGACAGACAGACATTAAATTTAGGGGGAAAAAGCAAAGCATAGTGTAAGGTTTATAACATGTATACAAAGAAAGCGGCAAGGAAGTAATATGTGAGCTGAGCCCGGAAGAAAGGGTGGGATCTGAGAAGGGATTAGAAGAGAAAGGGCTTCCAGGCAGAGAGTGGGAACCTAGGGAAGAGATTGAAATAGGGATTCAGGTTGTGTGGGGGGGAACCAGGGACACTGGACTTCAGGAGCAGGAGGTCCACACTGAGGGCCAGTGAGGCGGGGAGGCAGGCTGCCTGCCCAAAGCCTCTCCTACCACTTGGTAGTCCTCATCTACCCCACAGAACTTCCGAAAAAGCATTTCTGCCTCCTTTCTAAATATGCATAGATGACCAAGGATCAACGGACAACTGAGACAGACAAAAGAAAAAAGAATAAAACAGGAATTAGGAAAGAAAATGTTATAAAAAACCTTATTATCTACAGTCTCTGAAGATAATATTACACCTATAAAAGTATATAAAAGAACATTCAGAAAATAAGAGCTTCAAAATTCTGAAAGCAATAACAAATTTAAAAATTGATGAAAGACATTTGACGATAACCCTCAGATAGCAAAACAGAAAGATGGAGAAAGAAAATATAAGAAAATTAGAAGATTGGGAAGTTTGAAATCTGAAAAATAAGAATTACAGAAAAGAGAACAGGGAAAATGAGGAAGAGGAGGAAATTAACTCAAGAAATAATTCGAGAAAATTTCCCAGATCTGAAAGACATGTTGTCATGTTGAAAGGCTATACCAAATGCCCGCACAACAAAACTGAAAAGACCCACAACAAGGCACATCATCCCAGAATTTCAGAGATAAAGATCTTTAAAAATTCCATAAAAAAAAAATAAGAGGGTCATATTTAAGGGATTGGAAATCAGAATGGCGTGGAAATTCTCAATAGAATCTTAGGAAGCTGAAATTCAATGCGGCATTAACTTCAAAATTCTGAAGAAAATAATTTCAATGAAATTCTCTCAAAATATTGTGTGAGGGTAGAATAAAGATATTTCAGACATGCAGCTCAAAATTATCAAATATTTTATTTCAGAAACGTGCTGTAGGATATTCTCCAAAATTAATAAGTTGAGGAAGCAATATTTAGGATCTAGAAACTGGAGAATCCAAGAGAGAAAAAGGGTCCCAGGACGAAAGCCAGAGACCATCTAGACTGGAGCAGGAGGGCCCTGCGGTCATATCTCCAGGAAAAGTATTACCCATCAAATACCTGATGTGTTTGAAGATGTTAAAAGATCTGCAGAGTTTGGTGACAATAAGTAATAAACACATAGAAAAATCAATAAGCAGATAAATTAAGCAATTGTTGAATCCAGTAAAGATAAAAAGAAATAAAAAAACCTACAAAAAAGAGAATGTAATCATAGCACGTGCCTCAGCTGAGTATAATGATTACCTAATTTAAATAAGGTAAGTACTGGATGGTCATTTAATCAAAAAGGATACTATAACTATTTTTGAAAAATGGGACATGCTCTTATCTTATACGTGTTCATAAATGTGTGTGTTGAGTGCGACCAAAGTTTGCCACTCCAAAATATGTTTTGAGGATGTTGATTTTAATCTGGTTATTATGAAACAAAGGACACAGAAAGAACCTCTGACTTTCCCCGTTACCTGTCTAAAGGAATTTAGCTAGATAAACCTGCTGAGAGGAGGGGGGCAGCACCTCAGCATCACAATGTAAACTGAGTGCGAGGCTGGCAGGGACTCAGCAAAGCCTGTCGTCCCTCTCTGTGCCCCGCTGTTTCTGATGGCCCAGCAGGATTTTGTTTACCAGGTGTTTGCTCTTTCTCTTCTACCTGTGAATTGCTTGCTTTCCCTTTGAAATCCCAGACCCCTGCTTATTTCTCCTTTGTCCAGAATGACATATGAACCTCAGCTTCCCAATGCGTCTTGGTTCCCATATTCTTATGGCCCCCACATGTCCATTGTAATGAATTTTGGACATGTTCTCCTGTTAATCTGTCTCATGTTAATTTGATTAGTAGCCCAGCTAGAAGAACTTAGAAGGTGGGAGGAATGTTATTTTTCTTTGAACCCCACAGTGTCTAGGAAATCAAGGAGAAGAGTTAAGTCCTCATCTTCTAGATTTAGGAAGTCCACAGACAATATACACACCTGAAAAGGAAAGATACAGCAT